CAGCAGGACTGAAAAGCAGCACACTAAAAAGAACTAGCGCAGTAGGGAACGAAAGACAACTGACGATTTCTAGGTAAGGATTGCAACAGTTTTTCCCTTTAGAAGAGTCCGTCAAAATATCAATTAGTAGAATTTTTGAGATGCTCTAAACCTTTATGTCTGTATCTATATTCAGAATGGCCAATACAGAGATCTATGAGTGGAATGGAAAATGCTGTAAGAAGAGAAATCTCAATAGTAAAAATAAATCAATGAAATGAGCAAGGGCTGGGCCACAGAGTTACATCTTCAGAACACCGATCTGACTGTGAGATCACTCATGTATAGGGTATAAGACCTCCTTTTATTCTGCAGATTCAAAGCCTTTTTGGTTTTCAACAAACACTAATCACATAATGAAATGCAGTCACGCTTCTGAAGATATAAAGGTAGTAACAGAAGTTTGTTCCTTAATGCAGGATTGCCTTTTCTCAGCAGCTGATTAAAGCAGACACCAGCTGGTGGGCCCTGTTGGGTGCTGCCCACAGTTACCAACATTTAGAAGTCCTGGGTCCTAAGGGAACTCTCAGTTTATCTTATATCCTAGCGCCTTCTCCAACACGTATGCAAATATAGAAGAAAGCATGCACTGAGCAACTAGCTATTCCCTGCCTCCTGAAAAAAGGAGCAAATAGAACAGTCCTACCCCACCCAGTAGGCTCTGGCAGCACAACTGAAACGTACAGTTATTTGAACAGTTTCAACATCACCAGGAGAACAGGTTTGTTTTAGCCTTTGTCTGCAGACTCCATAACACGTGGGATCAGCTATATTAATGAAGTTCTCTGTGCAAAAACGTATGAGAACCTAAACTTACAGATTTCTTGCTCCAAATCCTAAATTACTTTCTGCACCTAGGGAATGGCTAAGTTTGTTGACACATGAGGTACTATAACTATACGCAATGAAAACAGAGAAAGCTTTCTACTCAGAAATCTAAGGCTGTTGCATACAAAGACAGACAGACAACAGTGCTGCTCGTGAGCCGCAAGACTCATAAACATGATTCAGTTATTACAACCGTGCTGCTCGGGAGCCGCAAGACTCATAAACATGATTCAGTTATACATCTTAACCAGTTACCATGCACTAGCTGTGCTCTCCCACCTGCTTCGTCCTTCTGGGATCTTACAGAAGAGTGGGGACAGATGACTTGGGATAGCTGCGGTGATCCTCCTCCCTGATACAAGAATGAGTCGGTATCATCAGTGCCATTCAGCAGCTGCTGAAGAATTTAGAGGCCAGTGTTTAAGGTACACTAATGCTAGGCTACTGCACATTGCCAGCTTGTACAGTCCAGCAATTCAGCAGCTACTGCAGGAGCAGCCAATTCATCCTGCAGCAGTGGGTCTGAACCTCTAGAGCTATCTCTGTTCCTCTGGCAGAGTTCTCTGTGATAAATGCCAGGAGAAACACTTTAGTTGAAAATCTTTTTCATTAAGGTCTCAGTTAATGAATTTTATCCTATGTCTGTATAGGATCAGTTACTGAAGCCTAGCTGACATGAAGTTAATCCATAGTAACTTAATCATGTGACTAAACTCCAGGCCAGATGCTCCTATTATTGTTTCCCCAGTTTGAATCCTTTTGCTGCCAGACACTGTTTAGAGTAGTAATAAAGCTCTGACACTCTGGCAGGGGCTGTAGGCACTGTTACAAGGTCCTCTGTGTTTCTACAGCCCATTAGTTTTCACTTCAAGCAGTATTTGAAAAAGCATTTCTTTTTACTTTAGCTCCAGTAACGTGCTTTCCATGGCAGATGCTCTGGCTTCATCCTCCGTGGGTCCCATATATTTCTATCTGCTTTCCTGCATAACTCCAAAGATTAAAGAATCTTGAACTCTGATGAAACTCAGCCGTTATTAATTCATCCTAGTTTAATACCTAGAGTTTTTAAGGCATCTGGTGGATTTTCAGCTTTTACGTCCATAAGTTCAGATGGAATCATCATTCAAATTAAAGATTCATCAGTTTGTATTTTTATGGCAAAATTTTAAGCAGCAAATGCAGCTGCCATTGTGCCAACGACTAAAGCATCTAGCGCCTTGCGTGTTGCCACCACGTTTATAAACAGACTTCTTGCATTTCCTTGTCTTCTAAGTAGACACTTAAACTGGAAGTTAGATTTGTTTTTATTACTGATTATAAACCCTATCTTTTTACAATACAGCCTAGTCTTCTGGGTTTTACCTGCAAATGTCTTGAGCTCATTAGAGCAGCTCTGACATTGATTTCAGTAAGAAGAAGTATAAACAAACATAACCTGGTACAATACGACTCAAGGACAATGCAACAGAGGATCTAGATTTTCGTCAATGACAATGATAAACAGTGTAAGTGGCTAAAGGTATGACAAGCCACTGTATGTTGAGAAACTTGCTGAAACCAGAAACACATAACACATAACTAACACACAACACACATTTTCCAACAGTTTGATGATGATCTTATCATATCCTGATCCATTCTGGAATATCTTTGAGGATCTGCAATGCCTTCTTGAAACTGAACTTCTTAACTGAATTTTGCTCTGTATATCTCCCTCTGATATTCTTAAGGGACGGAGGTATATATTTTATGACAAACGATCTTCCCAGTCAAAAGTTGCTCCTAATAGAACTCCTTCAGCTACTTCTTTACATATTCAGTACAGCACATTGCTAGATGTTGTAGCTACTTTATGTCATTGCTTTCTTTGTTCACAATACAACTTCCCTGCTGAGACATTTTCTTCGCCTATGCTTAAGAGATTTGAAGGAATTGTCTTACCAAGGGCCTTAATCTATCCTCCCTGTAATAACATTCACTTTTTTCTTTTCAAAATCCCCACATTTTGTTGGCTCTTTCACTTCTTCCTTTATGATGCAAATAATCTTCCTTTATGATCATTTTACTGGTAGGGACCATCTCATTTGTGATGAGAACTAATAATTTTTCACACAAACAGTTCACTGCATTTCTGAAAAACACCTTGTTCATCTTTTAGAACTATTTTCTTTTTTATCCTGGCAAATCTGCCAATTTAGGGTTTCCTGAGATTAAGTAAAATGTGATTCAGATTTGTTTCAGCAATTTTATTAACTCTTTTGGTGATACTGTCCTCCTCATTCTTTCTTTAATTGCTTCCTGCAGTTTTTCCCATACAAGTTTCATCTGCATCTTCTTTGAAAAGCAGTTGCTTTCATTCATTCTCTCTCTTCAATGCAGTTCTACTCTTCATCTTTCCATTACATGTCTGTAAATTATCAACAGTTTCTATAAACCTATAACTTTGAATGCAAAAGAAGTTATGCACAGACATTGTCCTCTTGTGATCAATCGAAATCCTAAAGCGTTTGAACTTGTGTAAGGGCCCAGAGCCCAGGTAGCCAAACCTCCAAGAAGGGGGATGCTCTCATGGCTCATACTCCTTGTTCACTGCAGTTTCAAACTGCTAACAATTGTAACCAAATTCCATTGCCTGTTGGTTATCCGATTACTTAAGGTCATAGCTAATGTCTCCCCCTCTATCTCAGCAAAGAATTTCTTGCATTCGTAAGGGGATCATGGCTCTTTGAATAGCAGTTCTTGGCTCTCTTGGCTACTTTACAGAATTCAGAGGTACCAGTTGTGGCTTTTGTTGCTACAGCCATTATGCTAATATTACCAAAGCTTACATTCATAGTCTGACACGGAAATTTCCAGGGAAACTCTGATGACTTTCAGCAACAGTCAGTTACTGCTAAAATGGCCTGTTTCTTTAGCTTGGTGTTTACTGATGGTGGTCTTCTTTTATTTATATAATCTTTTGTAAGAATAGTTTTTTGATTTATCCTTCAGCTTCCCACCTGAAAGGTCAGCGGACTGCTCCTTGTCCCTAATCTCAGAATTGGCTTCAGTAGTCTTACCAGGACTCACAATCTACTGAAACATCTTACATTAAGATACAACAAACCTGCCTGTATCCAACACGTGTAAAGTACTAGTTTCTCAAAAACGTGGAACATGCACTTAATTCAAGTGGTCTGCAGCGTTACAAGTTTATTAGTTTATTAATACAGTTCTCTAAATAACTGCAAAGACAGGCTTTCACTCAAACATGTTATAATTCAAGATCTGAAGTTTATACATCAAATGGAATAAATAGAATTACACAAAAAGCAGAAATACGGTTCTAGTTACCTTTCTTTGTCTTGTAGGGTCCTCCATCAGGGTGTATATCTTGTAATGGGACAGATATTACCTTGGCTAGGCCTGCATTCATCATATATTGATAGAGGCGTTTGAAAGTTCTTTCACAAAGACCCTAATGCAAAGAGCAACGACAAAAGTCACTACTGTAGCCTAAAACTCTGTATTTCAAGAAATCCACAGAACTATACTTTTATCTTCACAAAGAAACAAATAGAAATATCACAGGACCAAGGAGCTCTCTAACTCCATGATCTTTTTCTACAACAAGTCTCTATTCTTTATGTGATTGATATCAGAGACATTTATACTGCCAGTTTTCAAATACAATATTTTGGGACAGTGTACCAAGAGGTGGATCTTAAAAGTCTGCTAGTGCAGATACCAGACAGAGGTAGAGGTGCTTCTGCAGGGTGATCTGAGTCTTCCTAGCTCTGCACTCCAAGGGAGCAGCAGCAATCAAATACACGGATATCTGTTGCCTGGACATGGGGGGAAGCTTTTCTCTGAAGCTGTGAACTGAATAGAAAGCCTTCCTTATGACAGACAGGGAGAATAACTTGATCTAGAGCAACAGACCAGTCTTCCCAAAAGAGATTTTTAAAAAAGATTCAGTAGACTAGCAGGATCTTAAGATACTCTACCCCAAAGTATTGTGCAAGGTTAGAAACAGGCAGTACGAATGACTGCCTTTGATAGCAATTATCTAGATTGCATAAAAATATGAGTGAGAATTTGAAAGAGTCATGAGCCTTACCAATTCTTCCCTCAAGTTTCCTAACGTTTCCATGTGGTTTGAACGAGCACTCAGCATACTTGAGAGCTTCTCCATCAGAATATCATATTTACTCCTCCTAACCAAGAAAATAAAATTATGTGACATACAAGCATGGGGATAACTTTATAAGCATGAGTTGTATACCTTCATAAAATAATAGTCACTAGAAGATGTAAACTGAGAAGTGTTCTTAAATTGTTTTAGGAATTATACTTATTTTTTTCTTGCTGTGAATAGGCTTCAAACATGATCTAAGAATGAGTGCAAAAGCAGATAGGAGAATTTGTCACTAAGAGAACCAGACTGAGGGAACAGTATCCAGGCTGTTACTTCATCGGCAAGCCATAGGAGCACAAGTTCTAATCACGCACAAGAAAGGAAAGCAAAATGCATTAGAAATGTGCTTGAAGTAAGAACACTCAAACGTAACAGAACGACTAAAGCTACAATGAGCAGAGTAAGGCTTATGTAGTCATGTGACAGGCACTGGGATACCCTATTATTCACAGCTGAAAGAAAGGGAAGCTTTTATTATCCAGCACCTGGAAGAGGAGTTAATACAGAAATCAAGAAGAGTCAATAGCAGGGAATTTTAATGGTTCTGTGGTAATGAGGGCAAACTTTCATCATACTAAAAGGTCACAAGTCTACGCTAGAGATATTACAAACATCTGAGCGGCACATACCTATCAACATGAAAGCGAGTCAGAAGTAAAAGAATGGAGTGTTGCTGTGCTCCACTTGGTAGCCTTATGACATGGGATTGCATTGATATGAGACCATTTCTGTCCAATACTCTTCTGTGATAATGAATTTTTCCAGCATCCACTCTAAAGAAAAGATGGCAAGATATCTACAGTAATGGGAGATTTTGCAAAAATATTTTACATACCTAGTATTCAAACAGCCTTTATCTAAATGCTCTATGGTCTAAGTGACTCATGCTCTTTTAACTTTCAAGATGACTTTCTCAAAATTAGGGAGTGCCAAAACTGAGACAGCCTGTGAACTTTATTCACTCTTCAAAGCCTCTTCTATTACTTTCATTTATTTCCTGCTCATTGAACAAGACAAATGCCTTTATAGAGAGAGAGCAAATTCATTCATTCATGAATTTAGCTTCATTTGTTTCAGAATGGAGGATGAGAATTACAGAACAACAGTAAAAGGTCTTCTAGTCAAGAGAGTTGGGCGCAGCCTTGTAAACTCAAAGCTATTCTTTCTTTCAAAATAAGTTTTTATACGACGATAAAGAAGCCACTTAAAAACAAGCTTTTCAGAGCAGCTATTAAGTAGGAACTCTGTTGTAAGGCACATAATTTAAGGCATCATGACCCAGTTTTCTGCCATAGCAACAGTAGGGAAGTGACTTACCTCTGTACATACAATATTGATAAGATTGCAAACAACATAGATCCCAATACAGTGCTCTGGAAAACGCTAGAGAAAGACAATTTTATAGCTTTCCTCTGGACTATGTGCTGGAAAACAAGCTTTAGGATACAACGTATGAAAAAATTTGTTCCTTTCGCAACACAGGAGATTTGGCAGTGATTTTAATCACTGCTTATTCAATCACTGCTTTGTCACTCAAGACAGAGAAGCGAGTGCCTCTCAATTTCCGATTTTCCCATAGCATTAAGGAAGTGCCTATTTCTACAGAGAATTAACAGCATGATCTGGATATTTTGCCGCTTGTCCTTTGAAATAGAAAACTCAGAACACTGGCTGTGATGACCTGGGCATCACTTGCATAGTAAATCCCCTCCGATTCAAGCAACATTGAGCACAAGTAGTAGATTAATTCCTTCTGTTCTCCTCATTGTATTCAGTTGTCTGAGACCTAAAATCCTCTAAAGCCTCTAGCCTTCTATAAAGCACTTGGACTTAGAATCACAGAATCACATTGGTTAAAATGAATCTCCAGGGGTCTCTAGTCCAACCCCCCGCTCAAAGCAGGTCCAGGTAGAGCAAGATCAGGGTCTTGTTCAGCTAAGGTCTGAATATCCCCAAGGATGGGGATGTCACAACCTCTCTGGGCCCCTGTTCCAATAACTGACCACCATCATGGGGGAAAAAAAAAATCATTTTATCTATTTAAGAGTTTCTTGTGTTCCAGATTCTGTCTGTTGCCTCTCATTCTGTCCCTATGCACCTCTGAGAAATGTCTGGCTCTGTCCCTTCTACATCCTCCCATTAGGTAGTTGAATATAAGATCCCCTCTTAGAGAGGAGCATGGCATTGTATTCAGAAAGTCAGCCAGAACCAGTAACTTTTTACATTAAGCTCTATGAAAAAAATAAAACAGAGGACTCTTCTTAACAAATTGACTTCTATAAAAATAAGCGAACAAGACCAGCAAATCTTAAGAATTTTGTTTTCAGTGAAGTGTTTTGGTAGCAGCTAATAAACCCCAAACCACATAAGCAATGATGAGAACAAGTTGTGTTGAATAACTGTCCATTTGGTGAGCACTTTGTATGTGTACTGAATGTCCAGCAAAGGGCCCCTAAGATGATTAAGGGATGGGAGCATCTGACATACAACGAGAAGCTGAGAGATGGATTGCTTAGCCTGGAGAAGAGAAGGCTCAGAGGGGATCTTATCAACATGAATAAACACCTGATGGGAGAGCGTAAAGAGGACAGAGGCAAACTCTTCTGCATGCTATTTAGTGAAAAGAAGAGAGGTGATGCACATAAATTGAAATACAGGAAATTCCACTTTTTTAAAGAAAACTTTTTTACTGTGAAGGTGAATGAACACTGGAATAGGTTGTGCAGAGTGGTTCTGGAATCTCCATCCTTGGAGATACTAAAACCACGACCGGACAAGGTCCTGAGCTACCTCCTCTAGTCAACGCTGCTCTGAGCGGGAAGGTTGGACTAGACAGTCTCCAGAAGTTCCTTCCAACCTCAAAGATTCTATGATTCTATGAATATAGCAGGGATCCTGTAGAAAATTAAAGTGATTGTGTTATTAAGTAATATATAAAAATACACAGCTAAAGGGGGATAAAATATAGTTGCACGGGTGACATTTGTTCTGACGTTTTCTAACTTCTGCAGTTTTCTTGTTGCTTGCTTTTTATACATGTGTTTCTATTCTTATATTCAAATCCCGTATTTGAAAACTAAAGAGGGAGAAGAGCAAGCAAAATAAACAGTCTAGCATATTTTATTAGTAGGATAAGAACTTGTAGGTGAACAGAGAAGTCTTTACCACTTCAGTGAACAACAGTAGAAACCAGTTATCTCCTTGGAACTGGTGCTGAGAGGCAGCTAATACCCAGTTTCAAGAGACTAGTTGATATATATGAACGCTGGGACTTAGAGATCTTGGATTAAACTCCTATTCTGAAGAACACTGATGATTAGAGTCTTCTGTTTTTAACTTCCCCCATTCTTTCGCTCTTTTGTTTTCCAGATGAGCTAGTTTCTCCTCTGTCTCCACATAATCTGGATTCTAGTAAGAGGAAAATATTGCTGGTTTGCTCTCAGTTCCTATGCCACATACCCTCCATGGCTCCTGACTGATAAGAGAACTGTAGTGTGTTATCTGGTCTAGGTTCTTCCTCAGAATCCTCAGAGGTTATGTCCTAATTGTCATTTTCAGATTTGTTTAATCCAGATAAACAGAGATATATGCCTCTGATCTTAACCTATGCTCTCCACGCAAAACCACAGCCTAATGACATGGTTTGAGGAGACAGCTGAACCAATATCGTCCCTCCATGCCCTCCTTCACCCTCCTCTCTTCCTAGCTCCTGGCTACACTACAATCACCGTCCCCCTTGTGTCAGCTCAGATATTCATCTCACTCCTTGGTGAGCTGAATCAGGCCACTGAACTGGCAGAAAAATATCCACAAAAAACTTTTTTTCCCTGTCAACTTAGTTAGCTAAGAACCTTCCAAGGGTGTCCATTTGGGTAGAGAGAGGAAGCGCAGAGGTGTGGTTGGTGTGCAGCTAGAATAGGCATGCTGGGGCCAGCGTGGGGGTCCAAAAGAACTTGGCTAGGAGTGCTTCTTAGTGGTTCCGGTGGCTGAGCTCCTTGGCCAGAAACGCTGAGCCATAGCCAATAATAACGCCAGTGTAGTTTAAAAGCCACATATATTTCATCTGCAGAAGCAGTGAATCCTTAACAGTGATGCTGATACGCTCCAGCATTGCCATATGAAACTAAAAGTTCCCCAAGAGGCTGTGTGTTCCCCCTCCACAGCAAAATACAATGTCTAGTTTTGGAGCTGGTAACCCACGCTCTCCTGCAGGTGATGCAGGGAAAAGTGTCCCACAGGGCAACTGTTAGCCAGAATACCTTTGGCCTACAACTGAAAACAGGGGACAAAAGCTAGGCATCTCTTCATAACCTGGGCAGGATAACATGCTTACTCAGCAGTTTAGAAAAGGAAATGAAAATCCCTCTTTCAGCTGAAATTTAAAGACGCTGATTTAGAGAGAAGAACTTCCCCAAATTAGAAACCTGTGTATTGACCTGATAGACCACCTGTGGTTTCATGAGAAAATATCGGGGAATTTTATGACCTCAGGGAAGAGACCGATACCTCTTGTAACACAGGCTCCAAGAACCAAAGTGCTCCTTTCAGCAAGGATGAGACATTCCTGATGCAGACATGAGTTTCTCTCAATACACGGGAATTCCTAACTGGACAGAACTTTATAGGTAACCAATGGAAACTTTTTAGCTCCAGTTTTAGTTTACATAGTAAAACCTGAACTTACTTGAAAGCTCCGCTGTGAAGGTCCCTCTGAAGCTCTCCTTGCCACCTAGCACGACCTAAACGCTCCAATATGCAGTAGGAAAAGTCAGGGAGTTTTAAGTCAGGATCGCCCTCCCAGCCTATTAAAGCTCTGTAACGCTGGTCTTGGGAAGCAACGATGACTAGTTTCTCTCCCCATCTATGAAACGCAAAGAAAAGTAAGAAAATACAGTTAAATCCACAAACACAGGGATATTAACCTCTTTCGCTCCCCCCCAGCCACTCTTGATTTAATCGGCACAAACTGAACTAAAGGTCAGAACTGTTCTCTTTCAGCGACTACCCACAGCATTCACCAATACCCAAAATGTTTAACCGCAACCTAGGCAAATAGATTATTAATGCTGAACTCAAACAAGATATTACTTGTTAAATTGCCTACTCACCTCTAACTAAAATTTTCCTGATTTCTTCCTGTTTTCAACCATATCTTAATGAAGTATCAATAAATGGGAAACGTCAGTTGCTACTAAGGATTAAAGGTTTACGATTTGTACTGTGAAAGCTGCTTCGATTTCTCATTCCATTTCTCTCCATCAGCACCAACCCTTTGCTTTAAAAGGTTGAGTGGACTGAGTAAAAAATAAATAAATAAGCTGCTTTGTGACACAAAACTGGGAGCAAAGGAATACATTTAGCTACTGCATAGAATTCAGCCTACAAACTCCCTAAACGCTGTAAAAGCGACACATTTGTAGAAAGCGTTGATAGGTTTCTCAAGCAGCTTGTTTAATAGTATTCTACTCCAAATAACCTATTTATTAATGCATACATTGCACGAGCACATAGATTATTGTACAGACAGGATCAAGGCAACACACAATCTGAAAGAAAACGAGTAGCATCTAAGCTTCAAAATGATTTGAGAAATGCTGAAATTTAAAAATATATATACCAGTTAGAGCTTTCAGTTGTTAAAATGAAAAACAGCCGCAAAGATGCTAGGTCAGACTAAGTATTTGTTTTACTCCAAGCAGTTGGTTTAATGCAAACACAGGCTATTTAAACAACCAGCAGTTCAAGTTCTTAAGGGTTTTCCATAACTGGCATCTTCACCAATTGAATTAATGTATTCAGAGACCATCAAGCATCTTTCAGATCCCTGCAGTTATTTCTTTGTCAAAAATCACGTGTCTACTTCCAGCAACAGAGGTGTGCGAACGTTTAACCTCAACAGCCTTAACCTGTTTATTTTGTTTTTCTGCCAATATGTAATTTTATTACTGAAAATCTTCTCCCTTCTGAAGTAAACATCCAATAGTTCATGTAACTGTGAAATGTGACCGCAGTTACATTTTAGCAGCATCATAACAACGAGAAACATTAAGTATCTGCAGTCTTCTGACAAAATATTTTTAAAAGTTTACAGTAATTTAAAAGACGACTGAAGGATGACCCTAAGACAGTTATTTGAAAACAGTGAAAGGACTGAATTTTAAAAATTTAATTGAAGGGCATTAAATGTCTATCAAAATTTTACTCACTTTTCAACAGCTTCTGCGTAAGTATAACAAGGCTGCAAATCCTTCGTCCTTATTTGATCAGTAATATTTACTCTCTCTTTAAAATACTGGCAGGAACCTTGGATGCCATCTTTATTATCCAAAACCATGTAGACTGGATAAATATCATCTAAAGGAGCAGGATCTCTTTTTGTTTCCAGTATTCCTGTTTCAAGGTCTATTTCTTCATATCTGAAATAAAAAGAGGCAACATTTAACCAAGCAACAAAAATTTGGAACGGAAATTTGTCACAAATGATTCTGGTGCCATCATCAAGCATCTGGGAGAAAACTAAATCAAAGTCTTTTGAAACCTCAAAACTGGCAAACCATGAAGTTGGAGTTACACCCTTCAAACAAGATTGAACCTTATCAGCACGCAGAGCATACGAGGTGGGGAGGAAGGAGAAAGCACATTATTTGCTCTTCTAAACTTCAAGGATATTGAAGTGGCTGAGGAAAACCATACACAAATACCAGCTTAGGAAAAGGAAAACAACAGGCACGTCTGTTCTGGCAAATTTGGACATCTACATTCTGCTTGCACCCGAGCGGCAAAAGCACAGTCTTTGGAGCAGCAACCTAAGCGCGGCTCTCACCCAGATCTCCCAAGCAACACCAGAAAACTACCCTCAGTCTCGCCTCCTGTCAGCCAGGGACCACTTTAGCGTTCCTTCAGCGAAGCCTGAATAGCTCCCCAGGAGGAGGAGCTCCCCAGGGGCCCGGGCTTGGACTACCCCGGCTCCCAGGGGGCGAGCCTCCTG